TGCACTTATAAATGAATAAATTAATTAATTATATTGCACACATTTCATGAATTAATCTATAGAATCCCTCAAGTATTTAAAATACGTCAGCAAGCAACTATTATAACTGAGTAGGTGAATATCAATTATTTGTCACTATTTGTTCAGTGCTGAAAGAAAATCTATTTGTTAATACTTATAACCTAAAACAAACATTGAGTGTTATTTTGGTTAAATACCATTGATACAAACTAAAATCTTCGTCATTTATTTGCATTTACTTCATCACGTTCAAACTGGCAATATCAAGTAAGTCGTAAATAACACAAAGACATCGCCTTAATGAATATAAACGAAAAAAGGTTACTCAAATTTTATTAACAACAATAAACTATTGAATGGTAGTAAAGCATAAAGTTAATCTAACGTATTTTTGTAATATATTTATAACAATGTACAATATTTTTTGTTTTTAGAAAATAATGATAAAAAAAGTATAAAAGTCATAATAGTTTTGTAGGAAAAATTGAATAAATTTTACATCATAATGAAAATAAATATTAAAAGTAAATAAACATTGACTTTCATTAATCAAATATATTATATTAAACCTATTCTAATAAAAGGGTAATCTGAAAATTATACTAACGATAAAAAATCAATTATTTAACTTGAAATTAAATTTTTAATATTGGTTAATGCGGAACATTTACTTTTTTTACTGAAAACTACAATTTTCTTAACAATTTAAAATTTAAATTGTTAAGAAAACACAAATATATTATATATTAAATATACAACAGTGGCGTGCGGTCAGGGCAAGCTAGGTAAGCGACGCATGCCCGGCCAAAAAGGAAGAAATAAAAGGATTAACAATTATAATGTTAAATGACAATTTGACTTATACATTAAAATTACAATTATTCATTAACTCTTATTTGAGTATTCAATTTAAAAAAATTTATTAGGTTTCTTTGAAAGAAATTAAATGAATTTTTTCCGTATAGGCAATTTCTTTACAGAAGCGCTCGTATTTTAATTCCAATATTTTTAACACGCTTATATTATTACGATACATGTCGGATTATTTTCGTTATTAATATAAAGAACTTCTGCATAAAGAAAAAAATAATCCGGAATTTTATGATAAAGTTATAAATTAATTTTTGAAACAAGAAAGACGAATGGAATTTATCTATAAATAACTTTTAGATTGTAATTTTTATTAATAAAATACCTTTTTTTGTTTTAACTTTAAATTTTATTTTAGCGCTTACTCAGCATAAAATATCACCGCACGCCACTGATCTATAATATATTAAATAAAACACAATGGAGATTAAATTTTAATCTACATTTTTCATCGAACTTATTCTTGTTCTATCTTAATCAAATTGCAGCTGGATATATATTTTTTTAATCGGCTAATAATTTTTGTTTAAAATAATCAAACAGCAGGTAATGAAAATTTATAAAGAACAAAATGTGCTAGACCATATAATTCTAAGAAACATTAATATAATTCTGATATTACGTAAACATTTTATCTCTTCTTCTAAACTAATTATTAAATTAACTTTCATTGAATTTATACGTTTGTAATTATCTTATTTTACTTTCATGAGCAAATCTTGGAACATGTTTAGGAAGCAAGTGGCATAAAAAATACTAAAAGAAAACTACTGGAAATTTCAACATTCATAGCTAATTGTTTATTATGAGTTAACTGTAAATGTTTTTATTTTACAATTGTCTCATCATAATTAAATTATAAATTTTATAATATGCATTAAGTTTTCTTTAACAATACTTTTAATAAAACTGAAGAACAAGTAATATAATCTGTCCGGGAGATCAGGATATAAGTTTACCTAACATTATGATGACAAAATAAAATGCATATCATTTCTCCAACAATTGACACTTTTATAAGTCTATTCTAAAATAATATAAAATTAATTAAGCATTATGTAATATACATTAATTACATTAATATACATAGCATACAATTATCTCGTAAATAATGTATACAAAACAACGTTAAGCTTGTACTTTTTTATTAACTTTTAATATTACTAAATTACATAATAAGTCCATGTATAGTTTTTATGATGTATCACATTATTTGTCTTAGAAATATTAGACTAATTTATAATAAAGTTTTATTTATTCATTTTAAGACCCTTGAGATCAATTCAGACCACTGAATAATTAAATATATTATCCAATAGAAAAAAGATACCGAATCGTAAAATTATAATTTTCTTGATTTTATATTTCTTGTGTACTCTATATCTTCTGGTTAGTTATAAATTATGTAAGTATATAACCAAAAAAAATTATGTAATATATAACTATATTTCTTTAAGTCTCACTTAATTTTCTAATTATTTGGATATCTTGATTTAAATTACAATTAATTTAAATTGAAACAATAAAACGATGTATTAAAATAGTTGACAAAAACTAGACTGTAATTTACAAAAAATTTTCTACGTATTAAAACGAAATAAATTGAAAATATAATTGATGTATGGGAACGTAGTACTACGATTCATAATATTTAGATTCGCCTAAATTAATAATTTATGTCTAAACGATCAAATTACAACATTATCAAACTTAGATTTAGAAAATTAAAAAAAATAATTCGGAAAGAAAACAAGGCAGGTTTGAAATAAATATCGTCAAATTACTATTATTAAATGAGTTGAGTTTTTACCCATTTAATTGCGTATTAGGATTCAAATTTTTAACTTCAATAGTTTTAGTTTTTATAGAGGTGGCCAAGAACTGTTCATGCACTCAAACCTATTTTAAAAATATTTCAATTATTTTTATAAACAGAAGTGCGCAAACAGTGTTAAATGATATATACGCATCCTAAACTTAATTCAAAATGTTTTTACATTAATCTAACGTACTTTAAAGTGTTTATTTAGTAAAGATTAATAACTTGTTGATTCATATTATTTTGATCATTTTATTTTTACTCCTACTGAAATGGTTTATCACGTTTTTTCTGGACACTAAATTATTAAATAGAACAATAACAATTGGAGACATAATTAAAAACTTTCTGTATTACATTTTGAATTGCATAGTAAAAGAAACTACAAGATTAATAGATCTATATTTTTTTTTTAATTTCTTACTTATCAACATCAGTCGTAGATGACTATCTCAGACTAGATAACTAATCTCAGTGACTAGATAAATTTATTCTATTGTAAAGGTGATTTTGATGATATACAATAAAAGTATACACGTTAAAAAAGAAATCAAGTGTATTATTTTTCAAACTTTAACAACTAACATTTATTGTAACAAATCGAAAAAAAATATATGCTATGCAATTAAACAAACATAACTTATAATTCTTAAAATATTCTATCATATTTTGATTAATGAAGATCAAACGATACAAAATTTAAAACAGATCAATGTTTACATCAGAAAATCACAAATTATATCTAGTTACTATATAATTAATAATTAAATATTTTTGAAAAAACATAAGATCATTATTATTTTATTATATAAAAACATTTATTTAAAGTAGTGATTGGAAATATGTAACTATTTTATAGTCATTCAAAAACTATTTAATAGTTATATTCGAATTTTATGCAAACTATTTGATAGTTTTTTAAATATTTGATTTTTTATGCTAAAAATGAACTATACGGTTGTATAAAAAAAAAAAAATCGAATAGTTATTGGATAGTTCAACATATTCGGATATGTCCATCACTAATTTAAAGTGTTGAAATATAAGGGATTCAATAAGAAGTTTTGAAGAGAAACTTTTGAGAAAAACTTTTCAAAACTGATGTTAAAAAAAAAAATGCGGGAAAGAATTATTTCGAGAGACTTAAGTAATTTTATCATATGGTAAAGGACTCAGATATTAAAAATATAATTTTTTTTTTAAATAAGCACTAAAAATGGTTTTTAGTAAAAAATTAAAAAATTTTAATGTTACTTCCCTAAAACAAATAATAAAATATAAATTTTTAAATTCGTTTAAAACTACAACTTTTGAATTTATAGAGGAGATTGTAGTATGTTGACGATTGAGGCAAGGTGATTATGATTACTACTTTCATTAAAAGATTTAATTAAAGCTTAAGAGTGTCAATTTATTCTAGCCTCCACTATATCATGGTACAATATTGATGATTTAGAAATTTTCTTCTTGAATTAACAATAATAATCTTTATTGTCTGTATAACATCGTAAAAAAAAATGTTAAGTACTATTTTACATATTAGAAAATAAAAAATAATTCTTAACCTTAATCGTTTTGATGCAGAATTACAGACTTAACAGACTTTTATCGGAACACTTTTTAAAATCATCATTATTTAAGTTATTTTAAAAGGTTTCATTTGAAAAAATTTTTAGATTTTTTTCTGAACATTTTTGAAGAGAAGTAACCAGAGTATATTTTTTTCTTGAAAAAAAAAAAATAATAATAAAAGTAAAAATCTTTTGACACTTTTTAAATAATAATTGTATTTTTTAAGTAAGAAATTCTTTAATTTAATTCCATTTAAGTTTTATTCAGTGTTTTATATTAATTGCATAGAAATGAATCATTGCTAAAAAAAACTAAATCGTATAGGTGAAATTAATAAATTTCTTAGATAATACACAATAGATACAAAATAAATTTTATTTAAAAAATTCTGTAATTCATTCAATTTGCCTTAAAATTCTAGAATGCTATTCTATTTGAGAATTTTCTCAATAATATTTTAGATGCCAAATTTTTGTTTGTGGTCTTTGATGGTATAAAATTGAAAATGTTGTCCATATATAATCTTATGTTTGATGATGAAACTTAAGGATAATATTCTCATGTAATACTACATTGTTACTGTCATGTATCAATCTTATGTACGTAACATAGTTTAACATTGTAATTATGATAACCATGTCCATACCTGTAAGAGCTGATATCATGGCCCATTGATTTTTATGGAAAGGGAACAGAGTGACACGCGTTTGCAATAGAAAGGGAGAAGTAAATACTAGTAGGTCGTCCAAATTGTTTTCTTTTCACCGCTTACTTCTAAACCTGCAGCCAATCGGTTAGGAATCGCATCGACGACGACGACGACGACATCGTCTGCTGCAGACAACCAGGTAAGTCATTTTTTGAATATTGTCATTTAAAATTGTGATCTAATTCTTTCCAAGTATCGAGTAACTTTTAGAGAAACTTTAAGTTTAAAAATTGTAACGAGTTCTATATATAAGTTGGAAAAGTTTTAATATTCTGAATAATAGTATTAGTAGTGAACATGAAAGAAAATAATTAAGAAGGTGGTGGACACCTACATCCAGTTTTAAAAATGTTTTCGCACATAAATTCAAAAAACATATGTGTATAATTGTACTGCTGCAGACTTCGTTATGCTTCAATGTAGGGCAATATTGAGTATTAAGTAAAAACATGACTATACGCCAGTTCAAGGCCATTAATTTGAAAGAGAAATAAATAATTTTGAAGAACTTTAAGATGAATTAGTAAAGAACTATGGTTTGGTACTATTCGTGGGATTAAATTGCTAAAACTTCATTTATAAATTTTTCTGATCATAATAACTGACAGTTATGATATAAAGTTCGTCTACTCAGTCGTTTTATCTAATAGAACATATTAAAGTGATCCTCTGGATATAGAAACAAAAAAGAGAGTGCAAATAACATGACCGTCATCATTTAAATACACGTTTTGTAGCTTCAGGTAATATTTTTGGTCGTTGATTTTTTATTTGTTGGCTTTATAAACTTTAATGTCCATACAATTTTTATTTTTAGTTAGTTCTATTAATATATATATACATTAAAATTAATGAAATATATCCTTCATTTTAGGATCATATTTAAGGTTATATAACAAAGGGGTTAATTTGTTATAATTCTTCGTGATCCAATTATATTAGTTGTATAACCTTATTTTTTACTATAATAAAATCTTCATTTTTTTATTATAGAAAGATGTCTTAGTATTTAATGGTATATTGTCCAACAAATACTATAACATAGGTGCAATTTGAAAAAATATTTGAAAGGTATAATTTAATTTCTCCCTACCTTAAAAATATTTCTTTATAGAAATACATGTAATTTTCATATACCCCGGTATTTCATATGTACCGGCACTTTTTGAGAGCCTATTGTATACAGTTTCAAACTGTTAATAAAAAACTTAATATATACCCAAGGAAATAATTGCACCAATTTTGTCATTGATGTTAGCGAAAGTAGACTTTTTTTAATCTCTTAAAGAATAGATGTTATTCGAATAAGCAAACAGCATGGAAAATTGAATGACAAGGCAAAACCAAAAGATATATGTATTAAATCATTTATACAATTTTAAGGGTACTTGTCTTTTTCAAGTATTTATGTATTTAAGGAAGTGCGTAACCTTGGAAATATAAAAACATTTATTCAAATATTGTTTACATTTCATGTAAAGTTGAAGAATGATGGAATATTATTTTTTTGTTATTGAAGTAGAATAGGCTTAGACTATATCATAAGTATAAGAGACAGTTTTCCAATAGAATGCAAATTATTTAAAAATGCATTTTTATTTCGAGTTAGATTTATTCAAATATTAAATAATTATTATTAAATGAAATACTTATTGTTAACATAGGTTTGTGGTATGAGTGGGTAGACTTTTAAAACTTTTTTTGACTGTTTTTAAACTGGAAAAAATTAATAATTATAAAAAAATAAAAAAAAAACTTAAAATAATAATATTTCCGTTGACATTTGGAACTATAAATTAACTTTAATTCGATTATGTATTCTTTCAATTTCATTTTTTTTGTTATGTAAAAATTGCAATTAAATTTGCAATTTATCTAACACCCTAGAAAATTAAGAGAAGAAAAACACGTCCAACATCCTCTTTAACTAAACAAAAATCATTTAATAAGTTTATATGTAGAGTCATTATTTCAATAATATTTAGGTGTAACATTTGAACTAACTAGTATATATAAAATGGGTAAACAAAAATCTACATTATCATCATATGATTTTAATTTCAACTTAATTGTTCAAAAATTGCATCATTGAACGCCAATCCGTCTTTGACGTTGGTCTATTCTAAACGCCCACTCCAAGTTCCGTCTAAACCGGTTTACAGTTATGCAATCTTTAGGCTCATAGTCTAACGACTTTCCTTTCATTGAATCGACCAAAAGAAAAGATTTAAATCCAGTAACCTTACTATATTGTCGACAATTGCTGTGTGCATTTAATATTTTGCTATTATATTGTGCGTCGAAAATGTTACAGCTTCATGTCAATATATTTATAGCAAACGTTATGTTCTTACAACATATAATTGCTACACGGACAATACTTGTTTCAAATTTGAGATTTTTAGACAATCAACACCATGGTAACAACTTAAACTTGAATTGTTCCTCTTGAGATTATTTTATGAAAGCATTAATATATTTTTATGATGATTTTAAATCAGTTTTATATGACTATCTGTGGGACGACGTCTTTGTCTGTAACGGCAAGTGAAAGTAAGACCACTGATACAACAATATAATTTACTGATGTGCAAACGTGTGATCGAAAATTTATCCAAATCCTATTCTAGGTAAATACACAGTTTTCCAGATTGTTGGCTTCTTTCGAAAATATTCACATATATAAACTTAGACCACTAACATCAATGGTCTATTTTTAATTATGAAATCGTTAAAAAAAAGGATACGTAGAATAACCATACAATTTGATATTCATAAGCGTTTGTTATAAGGATACTTTTATGGTCATGATGATGTATACATCTATAAGTAAAATTGAATGATAATCATGATGTGTAAAAGAGTATTATTATTCATAATTTATGAAGGATAACAAATATGAAAATATTAACCAAGGTCAAAAGGGCTCATCTTCAATTCCTAAGGANTGATAAAATCGTTAAAAAAAATAATAACTAAAACTAAACCACACAATTTGATATTCATAAACGTTTGTTATAAGGATACTTTTACGGTCATGATGATATATATATCTATAAGTAAAATTGAATGATAATCATGATGTGTAAAAGAGTGAATTATTATTCATAATTTATGAAGGATAACAAATATGAAAATATTAACCAAGGTCAAAAGGGCTCATCTTCAATTCCTAAGGATATATTTCCGCTGACGTGAGATGAATGAATTAAAATAGTATATAAAACATGCATGTATATTGTTTATATTGCAATATTGAACTAACACTCATGGAGCTAAATTTGAAGGGCAAGTAAGATGTTAATACATTATTAGGCAATAAAATCATTATTAAGAATTGTCAATTCAATTCGTGTATCAAATAAGATCTATTTGAATCATATGATAGTTTGGTTATTAATCTAAATAACAATTAGAGACGTTATTTATTCATTAACTCTGGAGTAGGTCAGATTCGTTACTAAAATATCTCAATTTACGAAAAGAAAACTGGCTTTGTTGTAATATTAATACGGTTACATGTTTAATAATCGTCCTANTTAATACGGTTACATGTTTAATAATCGTCCTAGACTATGCTTATATAACTATGGGGTAATCTTTCCGGACCAGGAAATGTACAACTCGGACCGAAGCCAGAAGCAACAGCGATGGTTACGCGAGTACTAGTCATATTAGTATACATTACACTACAGAGAACAGGACAATTTTCATAAAAATTAAGAGGTCTACAACCGTAACAAAATGATTACCTATAAGGTCTTTTGTTTGATTATTTCAAACAATAAAAAGTTAATAAGAAAATTACACTATTATATTATTGTTAACCGAAAATTGATCTACTGCTGAGAAACGCTATAAGATACTGCAATTTGCTATTATTATAATAACTTATTAAACAGTATTTTAATTTTTTCAGATACAGTCTCGAGTGTAAAACCCGAGCCACTCCTAAACAGCCAATCTACTTATCATCATCTTTTGACGTTAAAGAAAACAAAAAAGACATCATGGGAGTGGGTTACGATAGTGACGAAGAAAACACAATTGAAGAATGCCCACTAGCCGACGATCTCAAGCTAGTGGCCAAACAAGAACTACGCGAAGACGATGATATTAGAACTCACTCACTCAGAGCCATGAGAAATTGGATAAAAAAACATCCTGATATTATCAATTGTCGCACAGGTACTTCTTTATCTGAATATGTCCACATTTTTATAGAAGTAGAAAATAAATAATCGCAACAAAATTATAACACTGATTATACTGGGCAAAATATAGATATGGCTAAAATATTTTATGAGGTTAAATTTAATTTCTCCCTTCTTAAAATGATTTTTTATGAATAACAACACGTTATTATTTTGAATTTAAAGAGGGCTCGTTTAAAACTTAGGGACAAAACCCTATATACGTCAAGGATAATATTTGGTCATAAACAATGCGACTTACCTTGAAATAATATGAATAACTAAAAAAAAATTTTTTTAAATCACGAAAATAATTGTTTTAGACTGATAAAAGAAAACATGGTAATATATAGTTATTATTTGTTATTATTTATTAGTATTAAAAAATGTATTGATATTAATTTATTACAATATTAGAGACATATATTTAGTAGTATTTTTAATATTAAAAATAATTTTAGTAAACAGTAATTTATTTAAAATAAATTAATCACGATTAATTTAACTTGAAAATTAATAAATGACTTTTTACTGTTTTTAGATGCACCCTTTTTACTTAGATTTCTAAGAACAAAAAAATTCAGTGTACCAATGGCACAAGAAATGCTAGAGAGGTATTTAGTTATAAGACAATTATATCCACAATGGTATCAGAAATTAGACATAGAAGATCCCTTAATATCGGATATTATTGATAGCGGGTAAACATTTCTAATAATATTAACATTAACCTTAATTAACCAGTTGGAATTTTACTTTAATGACTATAATTTCAAATTTAGATTCCTCATACCGTTACCTGGCCGAGATGAATTCGGTAGATGTGTTCTTTTTTCATCAATTGGCCGGTTTGATCCATATAAGTACACAGCGGATGAAATGATTAGAGCATATTCCTTAATAAGTGAAAGTTTGTTGGACGATCCCGAAAATNAGCATATTCCTTAATAAGTGAAAGTTTGTTGGACGATCCCGAAAATCAAATTAAAGGTATTTAATGTTATCTTAACGTTTATTTATTTTTCATAGTGACTGACAAAAAAAATATAAAAATTATTTCATATTTATATTAGGATATAACTATACCAACGACGAATCTGGTATGTTAATGGGTCATTTAACAATTTGGTCATTCACCAACGTAAAACGTATCATTCGCATCCTACAGGCAAAAAATTTTTATCTATAAATTTTGTTTTGAAAACAAATTAACTATATTTTTGTTCAATTTGTATTTATAGAATTCAATACCAATGAGACATAAAGCATCATATTTTATCAACGTACCAAATTTTGCAGACAAATTTTTCACAATAACCGTTTCATTTTTGAGCAACAAATTAAAAAGTCGAGTAAAAGTAAAAAATATTATTATTATCTATTAATGATGAAAATTAAATTTAAAAGAGATATGCATAGATAATGGAACATTAAAAATAATGGATTTTTCACACTTGGAATAAAACTGTTGTTTTTAAACCAGGTCACAAATGACTATATTAAATAAAATATACCTAATTTCCTGAGATTTTATGATTTTCATTTTATTCAAACCATAAATCTAAGCAAATATTATACTAGAGGCATTCATTATAGATATAAAAATAGTTAATAAATTATTATATTGTACAGAGTGATCGATTTATGGTAAACTACTCGATTGTTCGCAAAATAAATACAATATTTGAAAAATAATTTCGATATTATTTTAATTACATATAATTCTTGATTTACCAGCTAATAATTATTTTTTACAAAAAACCCTTATAACTTAAAGAGGTGTCAATTTTTTTTTTTTAAATATCAACATACATATGTAATAGTTTATAAAAGAGGAAATTATCTAATTAAGAAAATGACTGGTCAATAACAAATTTTGAACCAATATTTCAGATGTTATAAACAAATTAAAGTAATGACTGAAGGTGAGGAGTAGGTATAGCTATTTTTATTACTAGCCATTTTCCTCCCTGTACTCTTCCCTTTGCCAAGGTATAAAAATGAGTGTAAATTTTAAAGGACTAGCCCAAAAGTTATAATTAATCAGTCATTATTTTAATTAGATAATTTTCTATTTTTATGAATTAATTAAATAGCCTTATTTATTATAAGGGTTAATCTTTAATAGTAATTATTAGATGATAAATCAAGAGTTACATGTAAATAAAAAAAATAAAAAATAATTTTTCTAATATTGTATTCATTTTGCGAATAATTAAGTGAGTGGTTTATGATAAACCTATCAATCTGTATAGTATTTTAATAACGTAATATAAATAACTCTTTATGATAATTTTTTTTAGTTCTTTACCGGGCAAAAAGAGCTCCAAGAATGTATTGATCCTAAATATCTCCCAAAAGAATACGGAGGTGAAATACCTTTAGCAACCATGATAGGTAAGTAAATATTTTTATGACACAATCCAACATTCAATTGGATATTTATCATTATTAAAAATCATTTTTCTCTTTTAGCTGATTTGAAAAAGAAACTTCAATCACAACGTGATAAGTTATTGGCTCTAGATGATATGAAAATCAACATCAACAGCAAAGGGAAAATTATCAGTGAATTTGATGACATACAAGAAGAACTAGTAGGATCATTTAGAAAGTTGGAAGTAGATTAAAGATGTATAGTTTTATTATTATTATGTTTGTTATCATAATATTATTTTATCTATTTTCGTGATTATATATTATAATTAGTTATGTTACTGACTTTATTTCTAACAAGATGAAATAAACATTGGGATTCAACAAGTTTCATTAAATTTTATTGTCTTATTTTTCATTAAATTACACATGATGTCTCTAGTAATAATTAAAAATGTACATAAACAAAAATATATAGTAAAATTTAAATATTATAATACACTTAACAAAAATATTATGCTCTAAATTATGATAATCGATATCACAAGTTCAAACGATTAACGCGTTTTAGTCATGGTGTAAACGAATATTATTCTATTTTAACACAATTACACCATGGTATTGGTCAGTCGCTACCAGTAAAACAAAAACTAAAAATAAAACACAGGCGATGTTATATAAACTGGCAACATTAATTTTTTTACAATAAAAAAAAAAAAAATTAAAATAAACTTGTCAAACGCTTTATTTTTAACTTCATATCATTAAAAAAACTCTCGCACCATGATAATACTTTCTTTGAGAAAAAAATAATTAATTTTTTTTGTTTGTCTTTCTTTTATTCTTTCAATCGTCAGTTTCTTCGACCAACATTTGTGTGTCTTTACCCGTATCATTCATAGCTGGTTCTAATTCTCTATGTCTACGCTGTATTTGTGGTGAAGTCTTTTGTATAATTGTTGACGGCGCAAGAATTGCAGACGCTGGTTCTTGAACAATACCTTTGGTTTTGGTAACATCCAATGGTACTTCATAAATACCGCTACCAGCATCCGATTCCAAATTACTACCGAGTGCATCATACATTGGGTTACTGAAGTCACGGTTTTTACCACTAATATCCGTCATATTATATTCTACATCCAACGGTTCCTATATTAATTAAAATAATAATTTTATTAAAATAATGATTTAAATAAATACTTTTAAATTTCTGGGACTTACTCCTCCTCCAGAACCGTTAGTAAAGGCGTTTGGACCAAATTCAACATTTGTACCTTGCCTAAATGAAACACTTTGTGAATTGGTTAAACTTCCCAAAACTGCTCCCTTTCCACTAAAAATGAAATTATTAATTAATTTTGAGAATATAATGCTGATAAATAATATAGTTCAAGTACTTACAATGGACGTTTACGTATAAAAACAAAAATAGCTCCGGCGATAAGAAGAAGTAAGAGTCCTGTAAGTGGAATTACCAACATTGAACTAAATAATCCCGTTCGCCTAGCTCTTCTAGATGTAATATCACACAAACGTCCACTGAAATCTGGCTGGCATATGCAATTAAGTTCAGCAGACGATCCTAAACCAGATTCTACACAAACCCCACCGTTTTGGCAAAGACAAATTTGCGGTGCTGGTTTTGGCGGCTCTTCGGCTATAAAATAATAACACATATATTATATGTTAATAAATATACACACATTTATAATTATAATAATAAACAACTACATTGCTGATAAATAATATTTACCTGCGTCGCATATTTTTTCACTTGCGCCCTGTTGGACATGTGTGTGTTCGGGACACGCACAATACACACCTCCTGGTACTAGTAAACACAAATGTGAACAGCCAGCATCTTTGCAGAGATTTAAAGCAGAAACGTTGTATCTTTGTTTATGATAAACTAAAATGTAAAATTTATATTAATTGTTTAATGTAAAACAAAAAAAATATAATAATACAAAAATCAAACCTTTAACTCCGGCAGGATTGACTAGATCTTTGGCTAGAGTAACTGGAACACCACGACCAAATTTATCTTGTCTCATTAGTTCTCCAGTTTCTCTTGTTAACCAATATAACTGATTTTCAAAAAGATCTAATGATACAGGATGATGGAGATGTTCTATAAAAATAAATCATTGTTAAAAAATACAAAAATTCTAACATTTTTTAAGACTACAATTATATACCTCCACGTAAAACAACTTGGCGGTTTGATTGATCGTATTTTATTGTTTCAATTGTATTTAACTTGGTATCTACCCAATATAAAGAATGGNTATTGTTTCAATTGTATTTAACTTGGTATCTACCCAATATAAAGAATGACCTACAGCTATATCTACAGTTAAACCAGTAGGATGTACAATTCTAGTAGTAACTAATGATAAACGTCTAGAACCATCCATCCAAGACATTTCTATTTTTGGAGACTCTCCGACATCAGCCCAAAACATTTTACCCATTTCAGGATCCAAAACAATCGATGAAGGTGATTCCAATTCTAAAAAATTAAAAAATAGTCGTTTATAATATAGCGTATTGAAATTTTTAATTTTAATGAACATACCACTACTGATAACTGATCTCCTATATCTTCCATCTTGCTTAGCAACCATTATTTGTCCTTTGAATTTTTCACCTGATCGGTCAATCACAGCCCAATATATATTATCACCTATCCAATCAATAGCGACAGCAACAGGTTTATGTGGGCCTCTCATATTAAGATCTTGAGGATAACCCATCTTAACTTGACCGCCAATAGCATCTACCATGTATGATCTTTTAATCGATTGATCAAAAGTATCTGTCCAATAAATTATTTCATTCTTTGGATCAAAATCAATAGAATGTATACGCTTTTCATTAGTTAAAACTGACAAATGTCTTCTTTCGTTTGCCTCATAACCTCGTATTTCTGGTCCATTAGTGTAAACAATAGTTACTTTTGGATCTAAAGCTTTGCAAACGCCGCTAAACAAATCACTTAAAACAAAACCTTCGCGACAGGAACAAACATAAGATCCATTGATATTAGTACATTCTTGAGAACAATGATGAAGTCCTAATTCACATTCATTGATATCTAAACAAAATATTAGTGATAACATTACATTGCAATAATTACAAAAATTAATATTTTTTTCGATTTAAACTTACCTGTACATCTTTTACTATTTGTACCAGGGCTAATTTCATATCCAGCATAACAAGCACAACTATATCCTACTCCAGAAGTAACATTTAAACAATAATGTTCACAACCACCTTTATTAGGGTCTGAACACGTTCCAGAATATACTGTTTAGAAAATTATTTATTATTATCACAATTTTAATTATTTAATTACATCATTAATCATAGAACTTACTGCATCCTTTTTCGTCAGATAAATCTTCACAGTCATATTTCCTATCACAAAGTTTAGATTTGTCAACACATTTGCGGTTAGAACATGTGAATTCTGTATAATGATCACACTGTCTATTATTTTGTGATAATCCACAAACACTCAAATCATTTTCATCCGAACCGTCTCCACAATTATCCACTCCATCACAACGTTGGTACATAGGTATACAGTGTTTATTGTCACACAAAAATCGGTTATCCAATGTACAACTTAAATTTGCTATTAAAAAAATATTAAAAATTAAATTTTATTATTTGATTAAAATATACTCAAGACTTACAACATAAGTCAGATGCTTCATCAGAACCATCACCACAATCATCTTCTCCATCACAAAGTTCAGAGTTGAAAATACATAGTTTGGTAGTTTTACATTCAAATTTAGAAGCAGGACAATAGCGACCTCCTGGATATCGTGGCGGACATCCAATTTCATCACTGAAATCTCTACAATCTCTATCGCCATCACAACGGAAATATGATGCAATACAATGACCGCTCTTACATTGGAACGTGCCATTTTTACATTGGAATCCACCACAGTTTAGTTCGTCAGAATTGTCTCCACAATCATCATCGTGGTCACATCTCCATTGACCCGGTATACACTTTCCATTTGAACATTGAAATTCTGATTCTGAACATTGTCTATAAAGTCCTTTGCACATATCTTCAGATTCGTCCGAATTATCTCCGCAATCATTTTCAAAGTCACATAACCATCTTTTTGGTATACATCTATTATTTTTACATTGAAAATCTCCAGCTGATTGACATTTTGGACAATTTTCAGGTAATTCGTCTGATCCGTCACGACAATCATCTTTACCGTCACAAAACAACCATTTAGGTATACAACGATAGTTAGTTTTACCAGGGCATCTTTGCCATCCAGTAGTACAATTTCGCTGTCTACACATAAATGCAGGCTCATCTGAGTCATCACCACAGTCATTATCAAAATCACAAACCCACAATTTCGGTATACAACGACCATTTTTACATGAGTACTCAGTTTTTGGATCACAAGGCCGATTATCTAAAAATATAAAATACAATATTGTTAATTAAATGGAAAATATTTCATTATAAGTAAAACATACGGCAAATTGCTGGATCTTCGTCACTTCCATCTTTACAGTCTGGTTCACCATCACATTTCCATGCGTCAAGAATACAACGCCCATTTGAGCGACATTTAAATTCTAAATTAGGACATGGTAAGTCACAACGTTTTTCGTCAGAACCATCTCCACAATCATCAATTCCATCGCAAATAGTAGCCGATGGTGTACAGTTACGATTTTCACACTGGAATGCTCCTCCTCGGCAGGACCTTGTTGGACATTCGCTTTCAATTTCATCTGTACCATCAGCGCAATCTTTTTCTCCATCACACCTATATTTAAGAGATAATTTATTAAGATTTTTATATTTTTTAGTATTCTAAATTAAATTAAATTGTTATCATTAGATAGCAAAAAAATATTACTAGATTTAATATGAATTAAAACTTACTTCCAGAACCAAGGAATACACTTCTGATCATTTTGTTTACATTCATGTTGACCAGCAGTACAATTGGCAATACAAGTTTTATTATCACGCGGATCTAAATAAAATTGATTAGGGCAAGCACAAGTGTATGCAACAGGACTTTTAGAATTCAAGTAACTGTCTGGTGATGGATCTACTCCTGGAACCGGTCGTAATAAACATAAATGTGAGCATCCTCCATTATCACTTCCACAAGGATTTGGATATGGTATTTGCCTAAGAGGATGATACACGTTCAAATCATAAGGCCGATGTGTTGTGTTCCTTAGTACTTGATAATGCTGGCCTGTAATATCAAAAAATATAAAGGTATAAATCACTGGTATTTATAACTATAATAATTATAATTACCAGTAAATTTATTTGCTTTAACAATAGCTTTTAGATTCCAATCAGTCCAGAAAATTTCGTCTTCAAATAATGACAGAGCAAATACATGGGGTACTGATTCTCCTGATAGTACAATATGTTTGTGTCTTCCTTCTAAATCAACTGAAGCTATATAATTCAAATGAGCATCAGCCCAATAAACTCGTTCAGTAAAGTAATCGATGGTCAGAGCATTTGGCCAAGCTATATCATCCTCATAAGTTAATATTTGTGTGAAATTACTACCATCCATACCAATCTTACCAACGTATGCCTAAAATAATATTATAAAAAAATTCAATTTAAATATTAAGTAACTAGGATTTTTTTTAAATTTTACCTGTAGTTGCCAGCTAGTGAAGTATAAATAACCAGTTCCTGGATGAACGGCAATAGCTCTCGGATCTTGAATACCCGATTTTAATGTATGTCTATTTGTGCCATTTAATTCAGCTACTTCTAAATGTTTACTGTGCCGATCAAGCCAATATATTTTTCTTCCAACCCAATCTACAGCAATACCTTCCAAACCATGACTGTCATGTCTTATAATTTTCTCTCTTTCTTTACTTCCAATAGGTGTTCTATAAATTGTTTTAGCACTAACGTCGCAAAAGTATAGTTTTTGATCCAGATAGTCAAAATCTAGAGCGACAACATTCAATAGATCTTGATGATTAAGTGCGTATTCTGAAGCATCTAAAGACATATTTCGAACATAATATTTATTTGTGAAAATTAACCATGGTTTTATTTTATCTCTTCTCTTGCAAGAACGTTCATCAGATCTACGATCGTAATATGTTTCATCACATTTACAATAATAAGACCCAGGAGTGTTCAAACAATATTGAGGGCAAGCTCCAGGAATTTCCATACACTCATTAATATCTTGACAAGCTTTTCCATCATCCATTAACCTAAAATTAAAATTAAGTTTAAAAAGATACCAATATATGATAAAAAATATGGGACAAAATCATTAAATTTTTTATTAACGTAACAAAATGCATTATATATTATGTTTAATAGAATATATAATTATTATTTTGTTACAAATGATATAAAATAAAACTCACTTATATCCTTCGTTACATTCGCAGTTAAAACTAGTTGGTGTATCAATACATTTGTGTGCACACTGATTCAGTTCTACTTTAGCACACTCATCAACATTACAATGAGCTGGTTCATCACTGTCATCCGTGCAGTCTGATACTTTGTTACACACTAATCGTGCACTGATACATTGACCGTTTGTACAATGGAACTGATCTATTCCACATGATGTGGTATTTTTACCAGGACAGTCAAATTCGTCTGAATTATCACCACAGTCATCTTCATTATCACACCTATATGTGCTTCTAATACATTTAAAGTTTTGACAAGAAAATTCTTTTGGAGAACAAGTTTTATATTGTGAATGACAATCTTTGCCTTCGTCTGTACCATCACCACAATCATTGTCATGGTCACAGACCCATCCTTTATTAATACATCGACCATTACCACAGGTAAACTGTTCTGCACTACAGTTTAGTACAGTTGAGCAATTGAGTGCTGTTGAGTTTTCATCAGCTCCGTCAACGCAATCGGGATCACCATCACATAACCACTTTCTTGGAATACACTGCGGACGGTTCCATGCTTTGTTTGCTGCACATGTGAATTCCGTAGTTTCATCGCACTTACGATTATCTATAAAAATAACAATAGACGTAGAATAGATAATTAAAATCTAAATTAAAAATTTTAAAACAAATTTTACAGTTAACTAAAAACTTTAATAATTATTTAACTTGAAGAGTACATAATAAAATTAGCTTAATTTAATTAACAAAAAAACGTACTGCACTGATGTCGTTGATCTTCATCTGAATTATCCAAACAGTCATTGTCACCATCACATATATAAATTCTAGGTATACAATTGCCATTATCACAAGTAAATAGATCACCAAAACATGTTCGTCCTTCCGATTTACAATACTCAGGAGGTTCGTCAGATCCATCACCGCAATCATCATCACCATCGCAATACCACGTAGCTGGTATACAACGATGATTTGGACAACGGAAACTGTTTGCTGGGCACGTTCTTTGAGCACAATGAAGTGGATCTTCGTCACTATTATCACCGCAATCATTATCACCATCGCACAACCAGTATGGTTCAACACAAATGTTAGTTTTTTCACATTTTAAGTGACTAGCTGGACAAGTAATATTTTTGGGACATCGATCATGAGTTTCATCTGAAGTAATGTTATCTTTACAATCATTCACGCCATTGCACACCTATTAAAAGTTTTTCAATAATTTATCTATAAAATATGCATATCAAATTTTATAATCACAATTTAACTTACTTGTGACATGGAAATGCACCTATAATTGGCACATGTAAATTCGCCGTCAGCACAAGGTGGATAAGTACAACCAACTTCATCAGAACCATCTTTACAGTCGTTTTCATGATCACATTTCCATGTTTTAAATATACATCTTCCATTTGCACATCTAAATTCATTGGCACTACATGAATGATAAGCTGAAAAAAATATATTCACAATTAAAAATAATTTTTTTAATTTTCATAGCTTAAAAACTCATAAAAAAAATTGCACGCACTGCAATAATTGACATCTTCGTCACTGTTATCACCACAGTCGTCATCGCCATCGCAAGTCCACATACGCGAAATGCATTTACCATTACGACAATGGAATTTATTAGCTGCACATGTAACATTTTTGTCCACACACATACGGCCCTCATTAACTAGTTTGGTGTTGTCGTCACACCTACACTCAGCTGTGCCATTAAGTCCAGGGTGGCAGCTTTGAGCGCATCCACCGTTATTAATCGAACAGGGATTTACTGAGCATTTTTGTCTATCCTTTGAATAAATTGCAATGTCTCTTGGAGAATCATCTAATCTCTTGACAATTTCTATCATATTAGCTCCAGTATGCTTCTCAGCTCGATAGACTCCTCTTAACTGAAGATCAGTCCAATAGATGTAGTTTTCATGTACAGTCAGTGCAAATGGATAAATAGTAGCTGTTATAAGTACTTCTCGATTTTGACCATCTAGTGTTGACCTTTCAATTTTTTCTCGAACAGCGTCAGACCAATATAACATACGTTCGTCAAAATCGATAGTAAGTCCACTAGGCTGAGATAAGTCTTTATCTATGATAGCTTTTTTTAGTGACCCTGCCATAGTAGTTCGATATATCATTCCAGCAGTACCAAAACGTCCCCAATCAGTGAAGTATAAAGTTCTAAAATTATAGTAAATAATTAAATATAATATAAAAAGAAATATGAATTTTTTACTTACCCATTACAGGGATCGACAACAATAGCACGTGGCCTATCCACTCTAGCAATCATGACTACACCAGAACCATCCAAATTCATGGCGTAAATAGAATTATTAAAAGAGTCAGTCCAGTAAATCTTCTTTTGGGTCCAGTCATAAGATATACCTTCTGGGTTTATTTTACGACTTAAAATTGTTTTGATCTGATTGTTAACTGGGAAGTTACTCGAAATAGACGATATTTGAGCCATTGGACGAATTTGAGTAAAGAACAGTTTATTATCAGCGTAATCGAAGTCTAAGCCAACAACGTTGGACAAATTTCCCTGGAAATATTTAGAATGTTATTTATAAACAAAAATAATATTATAAAACATTAAACTTACAACAGGTTTGAATGGAAGTGTATTGGACAGAGGATCTAAACTTGCAGATCTTATTTCAGTTCTTGTTGCGTACACCAAATATTCACTTACAGTGTCACACTTCGTACCTGTACCTGCACCTATTACACCAGTCGCACAATCGCATCGAAACAAAAATTTGTTTACTGAATACGTTGGTGGAAACGAAAAACATAATTGTTCACAACCTCCGTTACCAAATCGAGAGCAGGAATTTGAATCGTCGAACGGTTGTGTGTTTGCATCGTAAATAGCTATATCACGTAATCTAGGAAGTCCAGTTCTAATAGCAGTTGGAGTCGATGTATTTCCTGGTAATTTAGAAGCTTTGAAAACACTTTTTAAATTTCTATCTACCCAATACATATCTCCTAAATGTATAGCAATACCCATTGGATTAGGAATATTTCTTCTGACAACCTGAAAATTTAATACATTTCTATAACATGTAACTAGAGACTGATAAACAATTTTAAATTACCTGTCTTTCACCTCCGGTGAATGAAACCTTTTGAATAGTATCTAGTCTAGCGTCCACCCAATAAACATCATGAGTAACCATATCAACAGTTAAATCCTTAGGTTGACTAATTCCTGTTGTCACTATCGGCATCCAGTTGGATCCATCTAAATATGCTTTACCAATTTTAGGGTACTGGCCGTAATCGATCCAGTAAAGTAACCGTTTGATAGGATTTACAATTAATTCTTTTGGTGCATCCGTTGTAGTTTTAACTAGTACTTTACGCATAGAGCCATCTAACCAACAAACTTCTACATAGTTTTCATGAGGGAACACGTTTGTAAAGTATAGATTTCCTGCTATCCAATCAATAGTTAGACCTCGTATACCATTAGAACCAATACCATCTTTAATAATATGTTGTAGTTCTGTACCATTTGGCCTAATTCTATAAATACCATTCCATATTCCACGATTAAATTCAACCCAATATATCCAATTTTGCGCAACATGAACATCCACATGTAATATATGATGTCCTAATAAATAAAATTTATTAAAATAACATATAAAGTGCATTTAATTCTTAATTGTTAAAAATATTAAATAATGTACTACTAATTACCTGGTCCTGATATAGGAACAATTGCATCTAATGTATCACTAAGGCTATATCCACGAATCAAATCTACTTGAGAAACAACCGCAAATGATGTATGTGGTGTACATCTTGTATCTAATTCCTTTTTATAGCCAACTGAACATGCACATACTCTATTACCATTATCACTTGGAATACATAATTGCTGACAACCACCATTTTGGGTCAAAGTACAAGGATGATTGGTATCTAAGATTTAAATTCTCATTAGACTATATATTTTTTATTATAATGAAGTATAAACATACTAATTTTTTTTGAAAATACAGTTAATGATTTAAGATCAGGGTCATTATCAATAATAGTTTGTATGTTAGCTCCATCATCAGCATTAACTCGCACAAGATGATCATATCTAGAGTCTATGAAGTATAAGTATCGATCATAGATACCCATTGATTTAGGAAAAGAGATGCCGTTCTTATCACTTAATAAAGTTCGATGATTCATTCCATTTACACCCATAACTTTAATCTATAAATCATTATTACTAGTTGTGATATCAACATAAAAATTTTAAAGTAAAAAATGTTTATAATAAAATTATTATTACATAGCTAGGATATTGAGTGCTGTAATAAATATTTTTTTGGTCCAAATCAATAGCGATCGATTCTGGCTTATTATCGTCATTTATTAATACTTGAGGGTTACTTCCATCCATATTCATTTTTCCAATCTTAGGTCGCACACCAAATCCTCCTTGATCAGCCCAATATAATTTTCTAAGAATTTTTTAAAAAAATAATTTAAATGTTCAACATTACTCCAAATAAAAATATTATACCCTTCACTTGGATCCAAAACAATACCAATAGGCGTTGCTACTGAATTTTCTTTTCCATTATTTGACAATAACACCATTCTATACTTATTTATGCCATCTATTTTAACTAATTCAATGCTAGACGACTCTCGATTTCCAATATATAAGTTTCGGCCAATCCAGTCAAAAGCAATTACAAATGGAGCACCTACAAATCCTGTGAGTTCACCTAATAATGAAGTTTTATTTCCTCCATGGTATGGTGACATCATAAGAGTACACTATAAATAAAAGTATTATAAATTAAAAAACATGTTATTTTATATTTTTAATTAAATTTGTTTACATTTTCGGTATTAATAGTTTCGTCCTCTTCGTTTACTTTTACACCTTCAACCCAAAAAAGATTTTTCGTTTCAGTATCATAATCTATTTGTGAACCTCCTTCAACTCCAACAATAGGTATTATATGACCTGTTGTTTTATCTCCTGGTGTTAGACTAACATCAATAATTTGGGATGCTCTCATAACTAATAAATATGGTGATTCAACTATAAAATACACATAAATATTAATAAATTAAATTTTAAAAGCTATGTACTATAGTTTATTACTTTCAATACATCTACCCGTGCTTGAAACTTTGTAACCTGGTTTACATTTACATGTATAGCCATTTGGATCGTAAGGTGAGAGTAAACAAAGTTGTTCACATGTAGCTTTTTCACATGGATTAGGAGTAATAGGCTGTAAGGATGGATGATGTACAAGAATACTTAGTGGTTGAGATATTAAATGAGAAATAACTGTTTGATTTTTTCCCTTAAATTTGTGAGCTGATATAACCTAAATCAAAAAGTTATTAATAAAAAAATTTTCATGCATAGTTATTGTTTAGAATTAATTACTCTGTTTAACTGTCTATCAGTCCAGTAGAGTGTATCTTCAAATAAAGTCAGTGAATGTGGATGGAGCAAATAGTGACTACCAGCAATTACTTGTTGACGACCAGTACCGTTATAGTAACAGAAATCAATAAAATCGAGTTTAGAGTCAGCAAAATATATGCGTTGATTTACTATATCCAATGTCAAACCATTGGGCCAATATATTTTTGTACTTATAATAACAGAACGGTTAGAACCATCCATTCCAACACGTTCGATTCTTGGGTTTTCACCCCAATCGGTCCAGAATAACCAACGTGCACTAAAATAATATTGTTAATTAATAGCATTAAGCTTACGATTTTCAACTGATTACTTACCCTGGACTAGGATCTAACATCATCCCTCTAGGTTGTGTTATATTTTCTTTGAGCAGTATAATTCTGTTAGTACCATTTTCATTTGCGACTTCTACCGTGTTCAACCTAGAATCTAACCAATAAATATGACCGCCGATCCAATCATATGCTAACCCCTCAACTAAGTCTAGACCAGAAGTAATGATCTGAAACAAAGTATAATTTTTTTATATTTCTAAATTCATTAATTTTTTCATTTCATGAATTTTGTATATACTAACATCTTTTGGCTCACTGCTTTTATCTAGTCTTGATATCTTTTTTAATTTCATATCTGACCAGAATATTGTACCAGAATGCATATTTGAAGCTGTAGCTACAACATTTTCAACAGTTATTGGCACTCGCTCAAGACCTTGTTCTTTGAGATCAGCCACAAGTATAGAATGACGATTTGATATGATTAAAAATGCTGCACTATGATCTAGATAGTATTAAAATGTTTTATTTTATGATAATAATTTTATTGAAAACTAAAAATAAACTTACTTAAAGCTTTACAGGTATGCTTATCAGACTCTAGAATATAACCTGTTGAACAAGAACAGAAGTAACTTCCTTTAGTATTTGTACAATGTTGTGAACATAGACCAGGAGGGTCACATTCATTTAAGTCCATACACTCATATGTGTTATTCAATACTTGACCACGGGGACAAGTGCACAGAGGACCCTTATGAGAAATAAATATCCATCATTAATTTAACAGTCACAATGTTTTTATACTAGTTATGCAATTTAAACTAACTTACTACTGGAGTTTGTTTACAACCGTTGGTACAAAAACTACCCTGTTTTTCACACTCTGGAAGATCACAGTTTGGTCCTTCGTCAGCACCATTAGGACAGTCAAATTTTCCATCACAAACTTTAGTTATGTTTATACACCTTTCAGTTACATTTGGACATTGCCACTCTCCAGCCTTACATCTGATGAAATTAAAAATTATAATCTAAGTTATTACAAATAAATTCCAAGCAATTTATTAAATAAGTATACTTGAAAGGTGGAGCAGTGCAAGCTTGTTTGTAATCTTCATCAGACCCATCACCACAATCGTCTCGACCATCACAAACGTACGCTTTAAAAATACATTGTGAATTATTACATTTGAAGTAATTTGATTGACATGACACTTGTCCACATGTTTTTGGTTCATCAGAATCGTCATCACAGTCTGCTGTTCCATCACAATACCAAGTTTTTGGTATACATATGCCCGATTTTTCACACCGGAATTGTTTTTCTGTATCGCACTGATTAGGTGCAAGTGTTGCTGAAGATAATAGGTAAAATATTTAGTCTAATAGGTAAAAACATAAAAAAAAAGCATTTTTGAAAATAAGATACTAACGACAGCCAAGTTCATCACTACCATCATTACAGTCTAATATACCATCGCACTTGTATGTTTCTTGAATACATTGTCTAAGATCAGCACATTTAAATTGTGTAGGTGAACAAGTAATTGGTGGACAACCTTCTTCATCTTGATTATCAAAACAATCGTTGTCACCGTCACATACCCAAGTCTGAGGAATACAATGTCCTGATCGAGGGCAAGTAAACTATAAAAAATACAAGATATTAAATTTTTTTCATATTTCACGAATTCTTATATGTAATCTACTTGGAAGTAAGCACATGTTTTTTCAGCGCAAAAATCTCCCTCATCAGAACCATCTCCACAGTCATTTTCGGAATCACATTTCCATGTAGATGGTACACAGCGACCGTTATCACACAGAAACTGAGTTGTAGAACAAGTAACGTTTTTACAGCCCGTTTCATCACTATAATCACCACAGTCATTTTCACCATCGCAACGGAATGAACTTGGTACACAACGACCTGTTCCAGAACTACATTGGAATTCTCCAGGAGCACAAGTTGGCTCTAAAAATATGTATTAAAATATAAATTAAAATTAAACTTCAATATACTTGAAATATTTATTGTTTCGATAGTTTATTGCAACCTCAACTTTAAGTAATTAATTGTATACTTTTATAGCAAAATAATTCCGTGTTGACTATTTAAAATAAATCATTTAAATTTACTTGTACAGTTTTGTTCTTCGTCGGAGTTATCCAAACAATCATCATCTCCGTCACAAACCCAAGCTTTTGGTATACATCTCATGTTGTTACAAGTGAAATCCCAAGTATTTGGGCATGCAGTCAACGGAGGTTCAGCGTTGGGATCTGAAATACAAGTCTTGCCATCTGTATCAATTTTCTCTCCATATGGACATCCACATTGAACTTTGAGCATGGAAGATGTGTTTGATGGAATCCCAAAACACAACTTTTGACAACCACCGTAGTTTTTCATACTTGAACATGGATGAGAATAATCTATCAGTTGTTCGTTTTCGCTGTACATTTTCACACCATAAAGACGATTGTTTTGCGGTTCTCGTACTTCTATACCAGCAACAGCTCCGGTTATCTTGTGTATTTTTACTATAGCGTCTAATCTCCAGTCAGTAATATACATCCATTCTAAAAAAATTAATTAATTAATAATTAATAAAAAAAATAAACATGTAAATCAAATTATATCGAGTATTTGTAAATAGAATTTAGACTTACCATAATTTATGACTATTGAGAATGGATGTTTTATAAGAGAAGTATTTATAGTTTTTACGTCTGTACCATCTAAATTTGAATTTTGAATATGATCTAATAATGCGTCACACCAGTAAAGTCGATCTGTAGCAAAATCGATGGCTAAACCGTTAGGCCAACCCAATGTTATATTTCTGAACACTGTTAAATTTGTTCCATCCATATATGATCGGCTTATATTTGCTGGACGATCCCATTCAGAGAAAAATATAAAACTGAAATTTAAAAATATGCATAGTGTAATTAATCGAATTAACAATTAAATTTTTGATTAAAAATACCCTTTGTTTGGATGAACAACGATTGCTCTTGGTCTCTTCATATTTTTCAAAAGTACTCTTTTATTGGTTACATTGCGAGTACTCAAAACGTTCAATGTCCCTTTTCTGCTATCAATGTAGTACAAATTTTTAGCAACCCAATCAACAGCGAGTCCTTCTACACCTTCATTTTGCGACGCTAAAACAATTTCTCTACCTGCAAAATTATTAAAAGAAAAATCGTCAGTTATTTTAATTACATATTTTAAAAAATAGCAATTCACACAAACCTGTTCCATTTCTGTGTATTCTATATATAACATCTTGAAGAACATCTGAATAATAAATATAGTTATCACGTGCATCAAAATCAAGACCAACAAATCTTGCTCTTCTAGAAGCCACTGGTAATATTGCGTCATTAAATCCTTGCGAGACTTTATTCAAAACTTTACCTTTGATAAATCTTTGTTGTGAATACAACAGAAATTCATCAACCACTACATACGATAACCAAAATCAATTGAGCATTATAGAATAAATTTTGTATCGCAAATACTTACAAACACAATAGTGCATATCTTGAGCTAGTTGGTATCCCATATTACATGCACATCTATAGGCTAAAGACCCTTGGCCTTCTCCTCCCTTGGTAACAATGCACATGTGTTGGCATCCTGCATTATTTTTGCTACATGGCGATAGCACTATCGAATTATAAACATAATATGCATTAGTTCCACTATCCTACTCTTATATAAAACCAATTTATACACACTTACCTTCTCTTTGGACTAATGAGTGGACAATTTTTATTGCTTTAGGATCCTTGACATCGCGGTTTTTATACACCGATGATACACTAGTAGGATCATATTTATTTACGCTTAAAATACCCTGTTTAGTACCATCTGACCAGAAAATTCGGTTTTCAAATACAGCTAGCCGAGAAGGTGATGGTACCTGTGGACCTCTTAAAACTAAATGCCGATCGTTTCCTTGATAATCAACCGTCTCTATATAGTCTAAAAGAGAATCACACCAGTAAAGACGATTGTCTAATATATCCACAGAAACTCCTGAGGCCTTATACACTGCTTCAGTAACTATAGCTTTTGCATCACTACCGTCCATATTAGCACGAACAATTTGGTTTCCATCAGCAATAAACATGTAGCCTTGTGTAGGATCTAATGATATATCAGATGGATTTGTTAAGTTGCTGCTTAATACGATAGCGTGCCACCTGCCGTTTAATTCAAACACATCAATTTTTTGACCAACTCCGTCGACTACGTATAGCTTGTTTCCTATCCAGTCTACTGCAATAGCTATTGGTTCCCACATACCAGGTAAAGTTATTTCAGATGGCATGGCATTACCGTCTCGAATAAATTTTTTTGGTTCAAGTAACTGAATTGATTTGATTTTCTTAAGCTTAACGTCAGACCAGAACAAAGTGTTGTACTGATAGTGATAATCAATTCCACTGGCAGATGTAGTGTTGGCTAACACAATTTGATTCTGGTATTTAGCATCCATTTTGATAACAGACTTATCTTGAGCAAAAAATATTTGATATGGCAGAGTCCGATTATTAGCTACACACCTTTTACGTTCTACTAAATCATAGCCAAGATAACAGCTGCAAGCGTATGAACCATCTAAATTTTTACAAATTTGCTCACAGAAACCCCATTCGGCACATTCATTTCGATCTAAAACAATTTAATTTATAATAACTTACTGAATCTAGAATATCGAATATTAAAAACCACATTTGCTTACCTATACATGACTTTGAGTCGTTAGCAATTTTACGTCCTTCAGGGCAATAACAGGTTCCCCCAGTTGGCGAAGCTTGACACTTATATTCACAACCCAACGCCGGACAACTTAACGTAGCTAAAAGTACAACACGCACCAAATAAATATAATTTATGGTACACAACTAAATATACATCCAATTGTAACATTACTATGTATTGTTACTTACAACAAGCAGCTTCTTCGTCTGCATTATCATCACAGTCTTTATGTCCATCACACAATTGTGATTTGTTTATACATTTGGGCCGTTTGTTAGGCCCACCCTGAGGACACAGGTATTTTCCAGGACAAGATAGAGCTGTACAGTTCAGCTCATCGCTACCATCGTGACAATCTGCATACCCATCACACTGATAATTAAGTGGAATACAAAGCCCGTTGCCACATCGAAACTGACCAACATGACACGCAGCAAAGTCTTAAATTATTAAAAAAGTTTAAAATGCAATAGTAAGTTTCACGTCACTAGTAATACTTTGTACTTTTTACAATGGTAAGTTAACAAATTATAAAACAAACAACTTACTGCAATTCTCTTCGTCACTATTATCACCACAGTTGTTTTGATGATCACATTTCAGTTTTGGATCGATGCACTTTTGGCCATTTGAACAACGGAATTTATCTAACGGACAAGACATGTTGATGGTCGGTCCACAGTTTTCCTCGTCCTTCAGATTGCGACAATCAAAATAACCATCACATTTCTTGGACTTGGGCAAACAAGGTCCACTGCCTGGACCATTTACTTCACACTTAAAGTCATCAGTTTGACATTTTCGATACGCTAAAAAAATTCAACATCAATAATCAACAGAGAATTTGTATTTAAGTTTGTAGTTTGTATCTAAAATAAAATAAATGATAGGTCTTTCCAAGTATGAAAAGAAGTAAAGTAAAACAAGTAAGTATTATAAATGAGCAGTAAAAAAACGTATTACTTATTATTTTTCATGTGTAGAGTGGAAATACTACACTAAGTAGATAATATTATCTGGGAAAATTAATTTTAGAAACTATCATAATATTATTCAAACCAGCTGCTTTATAAAATTCACTTCACTACTATTATTACAAAAGTAATTTCAAAGTACACCATAATTAACTACCTGGTAAATCTGTACAGGCGTCGTTTATCATTATTAAAAAATGCGAGCTCACACACATTCACTGATGGCAAGTCAAAATGTTTTTTTAACAAGATCTTGACTATGATGAGATCTCACGAATCTATTTACTATTTGTTAATAGACTGTTATTCAAGAAACTTACTACAATCGGCCTCGTCTGAACCATCCACACAGTCCACGGTAACATCACACCTGTAGTGAGGTGGGTAACAATACGTCTTATTCCAGTGATATTGACGACACGGCAATAAGAGCGGTTCGCACTCGGGTGGAGCTGTAAAAGAAAATAACATTAAGTTTTTGTTGTATATTCACACACTTCTCAAACAAGTAATTAGTGCTGGTAAAATTGGTTATATATATATGATATTTTAGATACTCACGGCAACTTTGGAACTCGTCCTCGCCCCCATCACAGTCTTTTTGGAAATTGCACAATAAATCGGACATTATGCATTTGCCATCAGAACACCGAAACATCCCGGGGCCACATGCCGATGCTCCTAAAGTTGGCGGCGTTATTTTTTCCACAACTAAAAAAAAAAATACATATTTATTATTATTTTTCAAATAGAGTATCGTTTTGAAATAATTTTGGCACATTTATTATGCATTTCAAATATGGATATTTGACATATAAGGATTTTTAATAGAAATGCTAGAATAAAACATGTTGTTTCCTACAATTCAAAATACCAGGAAAACACTCGAGGTTGAATATTATATATTATATATATATATATATATATGATTACATTATCATTATATCTTAATTGCAAACGCTAGTCTAATAAAATTCACCAACAACAATAAATGTCCAAATGATTTCATTTACCATTTAAATTATTTTTGAATATCCTTGTTTTCAGTATTAAGCAGAATTTCATTATCGAAAATAATCGTTAAAAAAATGTATTAAGAACTTAAAATAGTTTTTAAATTGTATACTCTTGATTACTTAATTTTATAGATATAAACGTTTCGTGACACTATAAGGGTATATAATATATCTCTAATGTAATTTTAGATAATATTTTTAATTATTTTAAAATTTTTACNTAATGTAATTTTAGATAATATTTTTAATTATTTTAAAATTTTTACATAAAGTTAAATACAGCTGTATGTCACTATAAATACATTAATTCTGTATTTTTGAAAATTTAAACATTCATGATTAAACGGACCGTATTTTAGCATATATTGCGTATTCATCTGTTCAACGAACCATTGAACCAAGTCGGGCAACAGTGAGGGTTCAAACGTGACTACAATAATTAGTTTGTAAATAATAAAACAATGTTATACATATCATATTGAATATCGTAAATTCCAATCTTGACGACAATCAAATGTGTCATTTCAAGAGCTAAGCATTGTACAATAACCTTACATAAACTGTGATTTTAAGACTCAAGTTACAATAAACAAACACGTATCATCCAAAATCTAATTGAGCGTCAATAAAAGTAAAAAAATAATACGTTGAATCCACGCTTTGTTGTGAAACACCATAAGAATTTTTTTTTAAACTGTCAAAACTATATGGGTCCTCATTTCGCTAGAGAATCAGGTCGTTTGCGAATTAACTTGCAACCCACGTACGTCGTCACTGAGGGCATAATATTATAAATATATGATGATCACCAGGACTTTAACGCCGTTGTTAGACAAGCACATAAGGGCAACAGTTGTGAATCATAGGCGGTGTACGATCATTGCTTTTATGACAACATACTATAGTTTTATTGTTTAATTCCAAAAATTAAAGATAGTAAATATTGTAGACTTCGTTATTACTATAACGTGTAACATTTAAATATAATTTATACGTCTTTAACGAATTGATATAAAGAGCAATAAGATTCCTATATGTATAAGGTATAGGTATTAATTAAATATACAAAAAAATGTTTAATAAAAATGCTTTAGTATGTACCTTTATCATACTTTAACGATTTTAATGAAATATCATAATATAAAAAAATTTAATTTAAGACAGCCAATTATTGTATTCTAATTATTCGTTCAATAGTCAGTAACGCCAAGTAAGTATAATTACCCATATAATCTTTTGGCGATAAAAAATAAAACAAATTCCTAAATTGACAAGTAAAACAACTAAAACGATAAATTACAAATGTAAAAGAGTCAATTTATGAAGTTTTTCCTTTTTAACGAACTATAGTCAAGTAATTGCAGCGTATGAATTACCTTGAAAAATATTAAAGGCGTTGATAGTTATTTTCGATTGAGTTCAATAAAAATCTTAATATCATAAAAATTTTGTGGTTTTGATCGGAGGTTTAATGTATAAAAACTATTTGTTTAAAACATGTTTTTAAAAAACAAAAAAAGCCATATGTAGACATTTTAACCAAAAACAATGTCTTATAATTGCGTGTATCCTACTTTAGGATAATTAAAATGTCTAAAATTTAAAAAAATCTAATTTTTATAGAAAATGAATTCGTAATATATTTCTGTAGCTATTTTTCAAGGACCGTTATTATGATTTTATTAATTATGATTTTTTTAAGATAGTAAAAGAAATTCGTGAGTTAAATAACCATTGATAATATTGTTATTAATATCAAAACCCCATTTTTACTACATACCACATTTAAGAAAACAGTCATACATTTTTATATATTAATAATTCATTGGTAGGATGACCAAACGTACTGTTTTACGAGGATTTATTCTTTTATGGTGTATGTTAGGTCACTTTGTCAAAATATCCTCCTTTTTTTAACAACGCTTATTGCTAATGTAATAAGAAGTTAACAATAATTATTTATAAAATAAAAAATAATATAAAATCAAATAATGTTTGTAAACCATATCTATCAATTTAATACTATCTTTAACCATAGTTAACTGTTAAGAATAAAAATAAAATAATTAATTTTTATGAATAAAAAATATCATCAATTTTACTTATAATGACTTCAAAAATATGTATAGAAACCAAGTTGTATAACTTATTAATAAATTAAAAAAATTTAATTCCGTATGAATATATATATATATATACTTGTTGCTAATTTCTTAAGCAAAAGTGGTTTTTGCAAGTATTTGATAGATTATTTATTTTTTATTACTCAGTTATTTTATATTCATAAAATTCGTATGTAAAATAATTATTTTATTTTAAATACATACATATATAAAACTGATTATTTTTTTTTATATCCTACCAAACTTATTTTTGTATTTCTGTAAATTTCCAATGGTTAACTTATAATATTTATAACTCAAACAAATCCTTTGATCTATGTGAAATTATAGTTTCTTATTTTTAAAGAAATAATATATTAAGTTACAATTCTCATTTTACAGGGTACAAAAAAAATTTATATTTATATTCTTGAAAATAGAAAATGATTGATGTTAACTCGATCACCTTGTACTTATAATCATTACAAGTAAAAAAATAGAAGTTGAAAAAAAATCACAAGAAAACCGTTAAACATTATAAATAAAGTGATTTTTAAGTTTTTACCTTTTACAGGAAATTTAATGGCCTTGGCAAAATTTTAATAACATATTTACATTCGTCATAAGAAAGCAAAATCAATTTTTTTTATATGGTAAAATACAGTATAATCTAGTCAAAATGTGTAATAGATTATATAATTAAAGAACACAACAAATAAATGTTTAAATACATTGGTTACAAAAAAGCAATAATTAAAATGCTTGTTACTTTATAAAATTTTGTTAAAAGTTTAAAGTTATTATACATAGTTTTATGGAACTTAAAGATATAGTTATTAGGTTTTTAATTGCAACATAATACATTAAGCAATGTTGTCTTTACGAAAATGATTTACTCTTAGGATTTTTTTAAATGAAAAGTTAATAAATACATTTAAACGTCTATCTATTGAAACAATGCCAATTCTCATAAGTCATAACATTTGCACGTCAAAAACAATTTATAGTTACTAGAAATGAAAAGTAGACGTCATACAAATGTTGTTTTGATCGTTTAAAATGCTTTTTACATTGTCATTTGTATTTTATAACTAGTCGTTTTGAGGGCCATTAATGATGTGTTTTCCCGGTAATACTTAAAAGGGAAAAATAATTATATTCAACAGCGATTGCCCAACAGGTCAATGGTGTAACCAAACTTTAGCTTGGTACATTGATTGCTGAACAATAATCGTTCATTAATTGGACATTTTTGACGTTGGGTTTAAGTGACGGTCGTTGTGCAAAGTAATCAGATAATAGACTTTAAGTCGTACAGTGATATTAAAACAATACATGTCATACAATTAATCAATCATTCGAACACAATAGAAATGATACCACACATTATCAGCTGTCGGCGCTATGCATACGTTTTAAAAATAACACAGCTACTCCTACTATTTCTCATTGTAGGCTTTAAATTTTTATTTAATAAATAAAAAGAATTCTTTGTATTCGCGCACCTTCCATAGGTCGTGACGAAAGACACCCATATAAACTCGCGCTCTCTTCGTCAAAGTGATTATTTACCAAAATTACACTTACACGTGTATTATATTTGTACATATAATCTGTGCCATTCACCTCTGTTGGCCAGTATCATCTTTGGCATCAGATAGTAACTGCGAGTGAAAGCAAAAAAATTTACTACAAAACTCACTGGTGCAATGACGACCCATAATTTTTTTTTTCATTTTATAGACAACAAACGAGGTAAACTACACGTATTTATATGTGTAAATACTTGTTCAAGAAATTACATACATGCAATGAATTTAATGTAATAATGTGCTGAAAACATTAAAATGTCAAAGAAAATAAATAAAATGTTTTATTAGAGAGATCTGATGCAATTTTCGTTTTTATTAAAAAGAGAAAATATTTTGTGGTTGAAAAAATAATTTTTACATAATTTAACCATATATATATATATATATAAATATATATTAATGTAAGATTTTTACATGATTCAAATATTACCTAAGAATGACAGTTATTTTCCAGAAAAGCACGAAAATACTGCCAAACATTCGATTTAACATACATATTTAAAAATCTATTATTTCGTAGCCAGACAATACTGAATATAAATTATAGTGCACTATTTTAAGAGATCAAATGCAAGTTGAAAAATGAAGATATTACTTTTTACAAATTCAAACGGGCACAATGTATCTGTAAGTACTTTGCTAGGAACATAAAACACGGTTTTTTAAAGCCGTTAATAAAAAACTAGAACAATAATATTTTAACGATGATAGCCATATTTCGCATATTTATCTCGATTCGAAGAAAATGATTAGTCATACAAAGAGTTTCCCATAGCACGTCAAAATGCTTGTAGGCCATATTGCAATTAGAAGGTAATGAAACAATATCTGATGGCGTATCTATCGATTTTTTCCAAACTAATAAACAACTGCGCGAGGTTAATCATTAGCCAAAGAATATTTAGCCTGATCTTTTTTAAAGTCTCGATTAATGATCGTATAAAAAAAGCATTATAAAAGCATTTCGCTGCACTTGCCAACAATTTGAAGATTTTTATCCC